TGAGAAAAAAATACATAACCCACATATATACAAAAAGTGACCTTTGATATTTTTCAGCCCAGAGACAATGATGAAATACAACAATACAACTAGATTTTGATCACGTTCCCATGGTGATGCTGCAAGGATGGTAAGCGTGAAAAATGGCCATGTCACTTTTTCAGTGCCGTTGTAACTTTGAACAGTCACTAAACGAATGATCGTATATCAAGGACTGTCCTTGCAGCCAATGTTTCCTTGCCTTCCGTTCACCAGCCCACCCCGACAGGAAAGGTTCCAAAACCCTTACTGGAGCCACCACAGCGTGATCAAAGCTCCAAAGAAAATTCCATGGTGTCAACCATCTTGGATCTCCTTCGATTCTTGATGGGGGTCTGCTCCTCCCCCCAAAAAGAGAAGAGGGGACGTCTATAGAAATTCTCAGTCATCCAGGTCATGGTTGGTCCAAAAGTGCTTTTTCAGGAGGCAACTGGACTTTCTGGTTTTTTCTTTTGAATACGTTTTGTTGCTCATCCAAGAAGCGTCTTCAGCTCTGACTGGATTATGGGGAATGGAAGGATTTATATTCCTTGCAGACAACTGGTCATTTACATCCTTTTAGAGGGTCGGTGAAGCACTTGGAGGTTTATCTGTGTCCTCAGGGTCACCTGAGTCCAGTTGCAGAACCAGTTTGGTGACGTCATATCGTCACCGCTACCGGCTCGGGAGAACCGGGCTGAACCAGGAGGAACCCACCACTGATCCTGAAGACACAGAGAAACCTCCAAGTGCTTCAACAACCCTCTAAAAGGATGCAAATGACCAGCTGTCTGCAAGGAGCATAAATCCTTCCATTCCCCACCATCCAGTCAGAGCTGAAGAAGCTTCTTGGATGAGAAGCGAAACGTCATCAAAGAAAAACAAGAAAGTCCAGTTGCCTCCTGAAAAAGCACACTTGGGAGAAAAAGGGGTAATTCTTCCCGGACTCTTAGCTCCTGTTTAAGGAGCAAATGGAAATCATGGCAGTGTTACCTGGAACAGGTTGCTCACTTTTCATCTAAGGTTATCAGATATCTGAACAGGCAAAGGAGGACATGGGCAACTGGAAAGGAGGACGTATGGGGGGAAGGAGAACACCCTCAATGTTTTATTTTCTTGGCATCGTCAACAAATACTGCAGTGGAAAAACTGCAAAAAAACCCAAAAAAGGATACTTGGGTCGACCTGTATTCAGGCAGTCCTCAAGTTACGACCATAATGAAGCCTGAAGTACTATGAAATTCGGGAGGGAAAATGCAGCACCAGAGTAAGAGACTAACAGAGTTGGAAGGGATCTTGGAGGTCATCTAATCCAACCCACTCCTCAGGCAGGAAACTCTATACCATTTCAAACAAATGGTTGTCCAATCTTTTCTTAAAATCCTTCCAATGTTGGAGCACTCACAACTTCTGGAGGCAAGTTGTTCCACTGAATAATTGTTCTCACTGTGAGGAAATTTCTCTTTAGTTCTAGGTTGGATCTCTCCTTGATTAGTTTCCATCCATTGCTTCTTGTCCTGCCCTCAGGTGTTTTGGAGAATAGCTTGACCCCTTCTTATTTGTGACAGTCCCTCAAATATTAGAACACAGCTATCATGTCACCTCCTAGTCCTTCTTTTCATTAAAGTAGACACATATCCAATTCCTGAGACCGTTCCTCATATGTTTTAGCCTCCGGTCTTGTAATGTCATCTTTATTGTTCTTCTCTGCACTCTTTCTAGGGTCTCTGCATCTTTTTATACCGTGTCAACCAAAACTGGATGCAATATTCATCCAACACCGAGAGAACTAGACCTGCCTTAGTTTCTCATGTGGCAAATCTTGGTCAATAGGATGCTTGGGCAAGTTTGGACAGCATCTCAGATGTCCTTCCAATGCAGCCAAAATGACTCATCCTTTTTTTTTTTTTTTTGCTTTAATTTATATGCCGCCCTTCTCCGGAGACTCAGGGCGGCTTACACTGCGTTAAGCAATAGCCTTCATACTTTTGTATATTTATACAAAGTCAGCTTATTGCCCCCACAATCCGGGTCCTCATTTCACCTACCTTTGAAAGGATGGAAGGCTGAGTCAACCTTGAGCCTGGTGAGATTTGAACTTGCAGTAATCGCAAGCAGCAGATGTTAATAACAGTGTGCTTTACTCCACTGTACTACAGGCTCTTTGTTTTGAAAAAAGTCTAAAGATTTTGAAAAAGTCTAAGAGTCTTTCCGATATTGTAAGACCAGTTGGCTAAATTCTTATGTCTGCCACACAGCTATCGAGATCAAAGTCCTTGCGTCATGGATGCAGAAGTAGAGGTGGCTTATCTACCCCGATCCTTCCTTGATCAAAATTGTAAACCCAACATGGGGGTAGTTGCTTCTTCCTCTTTACCCCAAGCCTTTTAGGGAAGGGGTTACCCAAAGAAACCACACCGGCTAACTGCTTGAGTAACTCTATTGGGCAGTTGAAACAGACCCAGGCAGGTTACCAACCACCCATCGCATGACATACTCAAGCCCCCCTCCACGGATTTGCTGCTATAAGCGTGTTCCAAAAATTGAAGGCGGCTTCCTTTATTTCATTTCTTCATTGGGCAACAGGCCACTTCTTTAAGGCTGAAGAGGTCTGCAGATTTTTTTTCCCTCCAGATCTCAAAAGATGGGGAGAGCAGGTTTACAGCTCCTGAGGACCTGGCTGGTACTTTGGGTCCTCCTCCAGGCAGGTAAAGCTAACATTTCTTTTCATTAGATTCAGAATATCATTTATTTTATTTTATTTGTATCCCGTCTTTATTCTTATAACAAATATCTCCAGGCAATGAACATATCCGATATACCTTCCTCCTCCTATTTTTCCTCACAACAACCCTGTGAGGTGGGTTTGGGCTGAGAGAGAAGACTTGGCCCAAAGTCACCCAGCTAGCTTTCATGACTAAGGCAGGACTTGAACTCAAGGTCTCCTGCTTTCTTGCCTTAACCAAACTGTTTTATGTTATCTGAGTTTTATTGCTAACATTTCATTTTTAAAAAAATGAAATGTTAGCAAAGAACCTGATAGGTTCTTTCATGAGGTTGGCTGGGAAATTTTGTAAGTTGAAATCCACATATCTTAAACTGTTCTAGTTGAGACACACTGACATAGAAGATTCAGCTTTAGTAATACATTTAAAAAAACACTTTAAGTTTCACCACAAATCACAAATTCGACTGTGAGGAAGCAACCTGATGCCATTGCTTAAAAAACTAATCTTAGATTGCCCAAATAGATGGGTTGTAAACATTTTGATTGTGAGGAGACATCCATTTTGTTCTATGCCAAAATATTGAGGGCTTATCTGGAGGATTTTGTACAGGTGGTCCTCAACTTACAACAATTCATTTAGTGACCGTTTAAAACTACAAAGGCATTGAAAAAAAGTGACTTGTCACCAGTTTTAACTCATACAATCATTGTAGCATCCCCATGGTCAAGGGATCAAAATTCAGGCGCTTGGCAACTGGCATGTATCTATGACAGTTGCACTATCCTGGGGTCATGTGATCCTCATTTGTGACCTTCCCAGTTGGCTTCCGAGAAGCAAAGTCAATGGGGGGAGCCAGATTCGCTTAACGACCACACAATTCACTTAACAACTGCAGTGATTTCCTATATCAACTATACATTTGAGTCAGCACAATCCTTATTCAAAGTCAATTGTCACCAGAGCCCTGGTGGCGCAGCAGATTAAAGCACTGTTATTAACATCATCTGCCTGCAATTACTGCAAGTTCAAATCTCACCAGGCTCAAGGTTGACTCAGCCTTCCATCCTTTCTAAGGTAGGTAAAATGAGGACCTGGATTGTGGGGGCAATAAGCTGACTTTGTATAAATATACAAAAAGTATGAAGGCTATTGCTTAACGCATTGTAAGCCGTCCTGAGTCTCCAGAGAAGGGCGGCATATAAATCAAATTTAAAAAAAAAATGGATGATTGAAATAGCAAATTTGGGGCAATGTTTTGTTTTTTAATATATAGTTATCATAGTCTTCCTGACAAAGGGGGAGAGATACTTGGAGGCTGCTGGTAAGGAATGGCCCAAAAAAATCAAGATGGCGCCTACAATGGTACAATGGAAGCTCCGCCTGATTTTTATGGGTGATGCAGCCACCTTCTTGACTTTTTTGCTGTACTCTGCAGACTCATCTGGATAGTTGTTGAATTTCTGCTAGCTTTGAATGTTTATGCTAGGGGTATTCAGGATGTGGGTGTGGGTGGGTGTATGTGTGTGAAAAATCAAGAAGATTTTTCTTGAAAAACTGGAAGGCTTTGACTGTGCAGTCATGGCTACCATTGTGACTTCACACACACACACACACACACACACACACACAGAGTGTGTGCGATCACTGAGGAAAAAAGCCATCAATCCTAGACAGGACATTTATTTTCCTTTTTACAACCCTTTAATCCCTTTATTCGGGATGGGATCGTATCAGTTGAATGGAGCTGAGCATTTACTGGCCGGATTCCCTTCCTGGCACCTACATCAAGTTCACAGCAGATATTTTCTCTTTGGGCCCTGATAGAGAAACATCTGTCGCTGCCTAGGATTGACCTCTCAACATTCCTCGTGGGAAGTGAGCATCTTCACCTCTAGGCCACCATGCCACTCAGACAGGACACAGAAATAATCTTTGTATAATGAAGCAGTATTTCTAATCTTGGGACATTCAGGTCATAACAATGTAGACTACATATGGCAATAGCAATAGCACTTAGACTTATATACCGCTTCACAGTGCTTTACAGCCCTCTCTAAGCGGTTTACAGAGTCAGCATATTGCCCCCAACAATCTGGGTCCTCATTTTACCGACCTAAAGGATAGAAACCTTGAGCTGGTGAGACACAAACTGCCGAACTGCTGACAGTCGGCAGAATTAGCCTACAATACTGCATTCTAACCACTGTGCCACCACGGCTGTAGACAGGACGTAATTTTTTTTTCCTTTTTACAATTCTTTAATCCCTTTATTTGGGGACTAAGTAGCTTAATCCTTAGTCAATCATTGTGCTTCTTTGTGCAGGTTTTTGTTTTGCTGCTGGGATCCGGAGAACGGGGGTCATTGGAGGCAAGGAAGTGAGACCCCATTCTCGGCCCTTTATGGCCTCCATCCAACATGAGAACAGACACATCTGCGGTGGGTTCTTGGTGAGACAGAGATGGGTGATGACAGCAGCTCATTGTCAGATTCCCAAGTAAGTAAGAACTTACCCCATTCCCCACTCTAGCACTGATGGTGTTACCTAGTTGGGTCATGAAACAGCTGCAGGCCAACAACTAAGCTGAGAGAGCACCAAGGACCCCACAGCTCAACCCTGAGCTACAAATATTGTCTTCTATTGATAAAGTGCTGGTTATCACCTTTAAAGCGCTCCATGGCATAGGACCTGGATACCTTCGAGACCGTCTGCTGCCACCAACGACCTCCCACCCACCGGTGCACTCCCACAGAGAAGGCCTCCTCAGGGTGCCATCGGCCAAGCAATGTAGACTGGTGGCCCCCAGGGGGAGGGCCTTCTCTGTGGGGGCACCTGCTCTCTGGAATCAGCTGCCCCCAGAGATACGAAGAATTCAAGACCTCGGTGCCTTCTGCCGTGCCCTGAAGACCTTCCTTTTTCAGCAAGCCGGGCTGGCTTAATGTTTTTTAAATGTTTTTAATATGTTTTGTTACTGTTTTTTAACTTTGGGGTCAAATTTATATATATCTTTTTAAATTTAGCCTGGTTTAGCTCTGCAGACTAAAGCACCGTAATTAACATCCATCTGTCTGCAATTACACCAGTTCGAATCTCGCCAAGGCTCAAGGTTGACTCAGCCTTCCATCCTTTCAAAGGTAGGTAAATTGAGGGCCCAGTTTGTGGGGGCAATAAGCTGACTTTGTATAAAATTTACAAGAGTATGAAGGCTATTGCATTGTAAGCCGCCCTGAGTCTCCGGAGAAGGGTGGCATATAAATCAAATTTTTTTAAAAAATTGTTTTTAATGTTTGTATTTATGTTTTTTACTTTGGCTGTGCACCGCCCTGAGTCCTTCGGGAGAAGGGTGGTCTATAAATTTGATAATAAATAAATAAATAAGTAACAGCCAGTGTGATGTGTTGCAACTAGATGACAAACAGATCAAATTATTCCCTCTCAAGGGAATTGTTCTCCAGGAAGCCTGCACACAAAGTCAGCTGGATTTGGGGTTCTAATTTGTACCAGATAGCTTGAGAGCATCTAGAACAGTGGTGGGTTGCTCCTGGTTCGCACCGGTTCACAAGAACCAGTAGTAAAAATTTGTAGTAGTTTGGAGAACTGGAAATAACATTGGCTGGCCATGCCCCCGAACCAGTCCCCAGCTCGGTCGCCGCTCGCTTACCCTGCCCACCTCATCAGAGGCTTTTTTTTTTTTCTTTTAAAAGCATTTTTTCTACAACCTCTTCGGCCGAAAAAATGTTTTTAAAAGTAAAAAAAAAAAAAAAGCCTCTGATGATCGTGCGGCTCAGCTGGGATCGTCACAGGCTTTTAAAAGCATTTTTTCTACAACCTTTTTCAGCCGAAGAGGTTGTAGGGGGAAAAAAAAGTCTTTTAAAGCCTCTGACGATCCCAGCTGAGTTGCCTGATCGTCAGAGGCTTTTAAAAGCATTTTTTCCTGCAACCTCTTAAAGTTGTAGAAAAAAATCCTTTTAAAAGTAAAAAAAAATAAAATAAAATTGGCCATGCCCACCCAGTCACATTACCCCGCCGCCAAGCCACGCCCACAAAATAAGCCACGCCCACAGAACCGGTAGTAAAAAAAATTAGAACCCACCCCTGATCTAGAATAATAGCTGAGGAATTCTGGGGATTGAAATCTACACATCTAAAAGTGTTCAAAGTTGAGAAACACTTCTAAATCTTTTTCTGCATTTGTACAATGTTGCTCATGTGATGGGTTTGCCTAAATGTTTGCATAACTTAATACAATGACTGAGGTACAGACTGATGGCGGCAGCAAAGGGATGCTTCTTTGATTAATGTTTTTAGTAAGGAAGAGTTTCTTTCTTTGTTCTTGATGAAACAAAGAAAGCTATGTATAGCCTGATAAGAGAACTGGTTCAAACTTGCCAAGGACAAAGATTCTCTTTTATTATACATAGACTTAGAACATAGAATAGTGGGGACCTTGGAGATCTTCTAGACTAACCCTCTGTTCAAGATGGAGATCCTATAGGCAAGCCATTCCTCTGATTTTTTTTTTTTAATTTTGATTTATATGCTGCCTTCTCCGGAGACTCAGGGCGGCTTACAATGCGTTAAGCAATAGCCTTCATCCTTTTGTATATTTTATACAAAGTCAGCTTATTGCCCCCACAAACCGGGTCCCCATTTTACCCACCTTAGAAAGGATGGAAGGCTGAGTCAACCTTGAGCCTGGTGAGATTTGAACTCGCAGTAATTGCAGGCAGCTGGATGCTAAATACTACCTTTAACAGTAGCATTAGTCTGCTGCGCCACTCAGGCTCTTAGTTGTTTTCACTGATTAGTTGTTCTCACTGTCAGGAAGTTTTTCCTTAGTTCTACAGTAGTTCTTTCTTTAATGATCTTTAACTTTAGTAACTTGCAAAACTCATTATAATATGAAAAACATAAACATGTAGAGGAGCATTAACAATCAAACAATCATTAAAACCAGTGTATGCATATATACAAGTAATCCTCGTCTTACAACAATTCGTTTAGTGGCCGTTCAAAGTTACAGCGGCAGTGAAAAACGTGACTTATGACCATTTTTCACAGTTACGACCTTTGCAGCATCCTCAAGATCATGTGATCAAAATTCAGACGCTCGGCAACTGTCTCATATTTATGACCATTGCTGTGTCCCAAGATCATGTCATCCCCTTTTGCGACCTTCTCACAAGCAAAGTCAAGTGGAGAAGCCAGATTCACTTAACATAAGTTACTAACTTATCAACTGCAGTGATTCACTCGACAACTGTAGCAAGAAAGGTCGTAAAATGGGGCAAAACTCACGTAACAAATGCCTCACTTAATAAGAGAAATTCTGGGCTCAATTGTCATAATTCAAGGACTACCTGCGTTGCCGTATTTCCTGAAAGCTAAGTTTCTCCTGAAGAAAGGTTATGTGTCTTTTTCTAGTGGAAATTGTCTTATGCAATATTGCCACTTCTAACTTTTCCCGATTTATCCTGGCAGGCAGTCCGCACAGTTTCGTGTCATCCTCGGCGCCCATTCGCTCAAGACTCAGGAGGCCTCTCAGCAAATCTTTGGAATCCAGAACTCCATTGCTCACCCGCTGTTCAGTGCTGTGACAGTGAAAAATGACATCCGCTTACTCAAAGTAAGTGTGGGGAGAGAAGCGGGCATCCCTCTGTCTATACAATGGGGGAAGAAGAATAGCATTATATTATTTTGCCACCTCATGTTGCAAAGGAACATGTTTTCTGATAAAGGTCTCAGTTAAAGGATATTCATCTTTTGTGCAAGATCCTAAAGCCCGGCCTCCCTCCTCCCTCCCTCCCTCCCTTCCTTGGTGGAAGGAAGAGCTGTGGTGGTGCAGGGGTTAGAATGCAGTATTGCAAGATAATTCTGCCAGCTGCCAGCAGTTCAGTCCTGCTCGGCTCAAGGTTGGCTCAGCTTTCCCTCCTTCTGAGGTCAGTAAAATGAGGACCCAGATTGTTGGGGACAATAGGCTGACTCTGTAAAACCGCTTAGAGAGGGCTGTAAAAGCATTGTAAAACAGTATATATGTGCTATTGCTATTGCTATTGCTTGCTTGCTTGCTTGCTTGCTTTCTTCCTCCCTCCCTCCCTCCCTCCTTTCTTTCTTTCCTCTTCCCTTCCCTCCCCTTCCTTTCCTTTCCTTTCCTTTCCCTCCCCTCCCCTCCCCTCCCCTTCCTTTCCTTTCCTTTCCTTTCCTTTCCCTTCCCTTCCCTCCCCTTCCCTTCCCTTTCTTTTCCTTTCCTTTTCTTTTCTTTCCTTTCCTTTCCTTTCCTTTCCCTCCCCTCCCCTCCCCTCCCCTCCCCTCCCCTTTCTTTTCCTTTCCTTTCCTTTCCTTTCCTTTCCCTCCCCTCCCCTCCCCTCCCCTCCCCTTCCTTTCCCTCCCTTTCTCTCCCCTCCCTTTCCTTTCTGTTCCCTCCCCTTCCTTTCCTTTCCTTTCCTTTCCCTCCCCTTCCCTCCCCTCCCCTCCCCTCCCCTCCCCTCCCTTTCCTTTCCTTTCCTTTCCTTTCCTTTCCTTTCCTTTCCTTTCCTTTCCTTTCCTTTTCTTGCCTCCTGTTTTAAATTTAGGGAGGGTTTTGCACAACCTATTCAGCCAGATTAGTTACAAATCTTGCTTTTCATCTGCAAAAGTGATGCTTTTAAAAAGGTTTAACCAAATGGTTGAGAAACAATGACTTACGCCGAAGGCCATTTGCACTAATAAAAAAAAGTTCTCTTTTGCTGAACTGTTATTCACTGCTGCAAAATAAAGTAAGATTCCAGTTACTTAATGGAGTCAGAATAAATGGCAAATTTTAAAAAGCATCAAAGAAGCGACCTTGAACCAAATCAGCCAACTAATCTATCTACGTTCTGTTGTCTTCTAAGCTTGATTGGGAAAAATTCTTCAGATTTCAGACAACCGGGGACTGAAATTCTAGTTGTTGATCAATGCAAGATATATTTTCTGTCTGTCAATTTCCAAACCCTCACAACACCATTCTTAACACACTATCATGACCCCAAATAATTAATCAATACCGGGGGTCTGTTTTCCATTGTTCTGTGTATTCAATATTAAACACTAGGTGGCGATCCAGACTTCCGCAAGGAAGAAATGATTGGAGGCAAAATGTGTGATACAGTTAAGTTCCAGCAGGGTGGAAATGGCTAATGGCTTCACAGATCAGGACACGTCAGATGGCCAACATCTGGATGGTGTGGCACGACATTCGGTTGTTTTGAACAGCTTCTGAAAATGTTCCCCCTCAACATTTCTCTCTGGACCTCCCAATCCTTTTGGATCACTTTGCATGAACAAACCGCTGGCCATAAAATACTGCAAATAAAACTTATGTAACTTTGCGGGAAAAGAATCTTTAAAGAATAATGCAGAAAACTGTGCTCCGATGGTTTAGGGCAATGATGGCTAACCTTTTCCAGACTGAGTGCCCAAGCGCGCGCACACGCATGAGAATGCACAAGCGCGCCCGAACCCCCAAAATGCAATGCACATGTGGGCCCTGTGCATGTGCCCCACCCCCACACATGTGCATGTGGCTCCCACATGCGTGCGTGCCCCCCCACATGCCCCACGCCCCCTCTGCATGCGAAGCAGAGACCCGATGACCAGCTGGCTGGTGGGAGGCATGTGCGCATGCGTGACAAAACTGAACTGGGGCGACGGTTTGCATGCCCACAGAGACGGTGCTGCGTGCCACCTGCGACATGCATGCCATAGGTTTGCCATCACGGGTTTAGGGTCTAACTAAAGCAACTTGGTGAGGAAGGCGTTTGAATCGGTGGGACTACATAGATGAATCCATACAGGTAGTCCTCGATTTACAACCATTCATTTGGTGACCCTTCAAAATTACAACAACCCTGAAAAAAGTGACTTTGACAAGGTTTTCATACTTATGACAGGTGCAGCATCCCCATGATCACATGATCAAAATTGGGGCACTTGGCAACTGACAGTTGCATTGTCCCAGGATCATGTGATCCCCTTTTGCGACCTCTTGAACAGGGAAGCCAGATTAATAACCATGTTACTAACTTAACAACTGGAGTGACTCACCTAACAATTGTGACAAGAAAGGTTCTAAAATAGAGCAAAACTCACTTAAACACCGGTCTTGCCTAGCAACAGAAATGTTGGGCTCAGTTGTGGCTGTAAGTCGAGGACTACCTGTATGACTTAGGATCTTTGGACCATACCTATGGACACACCTGTCAGGATTCCAGGTAACACCTCCAGCAAAAGAAGATTCCGAGGCCAGAAGTTCCTCAAAGTTCCATTTTATTAGAAATGTCATATTGGCACATCTGGGAAAACCCGAATCTGAAAGTTTCCAGGTTTTCCCCACCCTAAAGAAAGTCCAAGTCCCTGCCCCAGCACCCACATGTCCATCACATGGTCCAATCAATGCACCGTCCCAACTGGGAGGCATCTCAGTCATACCACTCCAGGTGCAGGGCAAGATGTCCTTGACTCTCAAAGAAAAGAATGTTATTATGGCTAGATATCTCTCCAACTCCATACAATCCCCCCTCCCGGTTTCCCACAGCACTAAATGTGGCAGCCGTGAAGATCCAAAGTAAAAGATGGCTTCCAGGGTTGACAACACCTGGACATGGGATTAAAAAAAGTCCAGATGGTGGAACCTACAGGTAAAACTAGGCTGGGCTTCATTCACACAATAGTGGTCCCCATTTTGATATTTTGACATGCCTCCTGTGCACAAGGCTGAATAACAGAATAACAGAGTTAGAAGGGACCTTGGAGGTCTTCTAGCCCAACCCCCTACTCAAGCAGGAAACTCTATACCCGTGATGGTGAAACTATGGCACGCCTGCCACAGGTGGCACGTGGGGCCATATCTGTGGGCATGCAAGCATTGCCCTAGTACAGCTCCACATGCTGACCAGCTAATTTTCTGGCCTTCTGGGCCCACCGTTTCCAGCCTCTGGAGGGCCTCCGGGGGGCAGGGGAAGGCTGTTTTTGCCCTCCCCAGGCTCCAAGAAAGCCTCTGGAGCCTGGGGAGGGCAAAAAACAGGTCTACTGGGCCCACCGTGCCATCGCGTGCCAAAAGCGGGGGAGCACGGGGTGGGGCGCGTTGAATTATGGGTGTGGGCACAGGTGCACACTATCTCCCCCACTCCCCCCGCTTTTGGCACGCGATGGCAAAAAGGTTAGCCATCACTACTCTATACTATTTTGGCAGTCACTTGCTCTCCAAGCTTGTTTCAATTTATGTTCTGAATATTTCGTTACCAGACTAGGTAACATCATCAACAGGATTTTCTTGTCCTATTCCTCTTTAGCTTATAAATAAGAGCAAACCACTGCCAAAATCTGAGTTACAAGTATTTTTTTTTTATTATTTCAACTCTGTACCATATTAGACAAATGGTTGTCCAATCTCTTCTTGCAAACCTCCAGCACTGGAGCATCCCCAATTCCTGGAGGCAAGTCGTTCCACTGATTAATTGTTCTCACTGACTGGAAATTCCTTTTAATTCTAGGTTGCTTCTCTTCAGGGGTGAAATGTAAAATTTGTTACTACCGGTTCGGTGGGCGTGGCCAACTTTTTTTTTTTTTAAGCATTTTTTCTACAACCTTAAGAGGTTGCAGAAAAAAATGCTTTTAAAAGCCTCTGACGATCAGGCAACTCAGCTGGGATCGCCAGAGGCTTTTAAAGGCTTTTTTTTTTCTACAGCCTCTTCGGCCGAAGAGGTTGTAGAAAAAATGCTTTTAAAAGCCTCTGACGATCCCAACTGAGCCGCGCGATCATCAGAGGCTTTTTTTTACTTTTAAAAGCATTTTTTTGGCCAAAGAGGTTGTAGAAAAAAATGCTTTTAAAAATTAAAAAAAAGCCTCTGATGATCACGCGGCTCAGTTGGGCATGGGGGAGATGCAGGGATTTTTGCTACCGGTTCTCCGAACCATCTGCCACCATCGCTACCAGATCGGGCGATCCAGTCTGAACCAGGAGCATTTCACCCCTGCTTCTCTCCTTGATTAGTTTCCATCTGTTGCTTCCTGTCCTGCCTTCAGGTGCTTTGGAGAACAGGTTGACCCCCCTCCTCTTCGTGACTCATGCTTTGCAGATGAATCATTGCTGAAAATGCAACCCTGGCCTTAGCAGCCCATCTCTTCTTTTCTCTCTGTCTGCAGTTGAACAGATCCGCCATTTTCAACAAGAATGTCCGGAAGATCAAATTACCTCATGCCAACACCGATCTTTGCCCTGGACTCACGTGCCGTATTATTGGCTGGGGAGACATCTCAAATTATGCGACCATCCCCACCGAACTCATGGAGGCCAACATAACCATCGTGGACAGGAAGGCTTGCAACGCATCGTGGCAAGGACACGTCACCAAGAGCATGGTCTGCGCAGCCAGCACCAGTGCCCTCCTGCGTGGTTTCTGCTCGGTGAGCCTGGAGTGGCTTTTTCAAAATAGAAACTCAGCATGCTAAGGAGTTTTTTTTAATGCCATGTTTGGTCAGAGACTGAACACTGCAAGGGTGAAATTGTGAAGATGAGCCAATGCTTGACAAAAGCTGTCATCCATCAGCCCATTAGACAAAAGTTGATGGATTTAAACCAGGGGTGTCAAACCAGGGGTGAAATCCAAAAACTGATTTTGGTGGGCATGATAGGGGAAGGATACTGTAAAATCTCCATTCCACCCCACTCCAGGGGAAGGATACTGTAAAATCTCCATTACACCCCACTCCGAGGGAAGAATACTGCAAAATCTCCATTACACCCCACTCCGAGGGAAGGATATTGCAAAATCTCCATTCCCACCCCACTCTGGGGCCAGCCAGAGATGGTATTTGCCGCTTCTCCAAACTACTCAAAATTTCCGCTACCGGTTCTCCAGAACCTGTTAGAACCTGCTGGATTTCACCCCTGTGCCAAACTCAAGGCCTGTGGGTCACATTCAGCCTGCTGGATGTTTAGATCTGGCCCATGGGGCCACCCTGGAAACAGGGGACCAGCCCACGGTGCCTCTGCGTGTGGCCTTCCTGAGCTCCGTTTTTGCTGGCAGAGGGTTGCAGGAGGCCGTTGCAGGTGGAAATGGAGCTTGGGAACCCGTTTTCACTGGTAGAATGCTCGGGCCACCACAGGCGTCCCCGACACAAGTGACATCGAGCTGGCCACACCCACCCTGGCCACATCCCCCCGGCCCTCCTGAGGTCAAACACAACCCTGATGTGGCCCTCAATGAAATCGGGTTTAACACCCCTGATTTAAACTGATTAATGTCTTCTGGAACGCTGACAATTAATTCACTCAATTTATTAACCATCCCTATGCACAATGTACAACAAAGTATGAAAACAAACCAAAAATAATACAGGTAGTCCTCAACTTATGATCAGAATTGAGCCCAACATTTCTGTTGCTAAGCGAAACATTTGTTAAATGAGTTTTGCCCCACTTTACGACTTTGCTTGCCACAGTTGTTAAGTGAAGCCCTGCAGAAGTTAAGTTAGTAGTACGGTTGTTCAGTGAATCTGGATTTCCCCATTGACTTTGCTCATCAGAAGGTCGCAAAAGGGGATCACATGACCCCGGGACACTGCAACCGTCATAAATAGGAGTCAGTTGTCGAGCGGCTGAATTTAGATCATGTGATCATGGGGACGTTGCAAAGGTCGTAAGTGTGAAAAACGGTCATGTCACTTTTTTCCGAGCCATTGTAACTTCGAACAGTCTCTAAATGAACTGTTGTAAGTCGAGAACTACCTGTATAAATATGATGAATGGATGGCCGGCTGGCTGGCTGGCTGGATGAATATAGGAAGAACTTCACAAGATCTAATCTACCCACATTGATCATTACCTCTCTACCATTTTTTTAAAAAATATTTTCACTTGATTCTATTGTCCTTGGATATTACCAAATCTACTATTATGGTTGGTCACACAGCCAGATGTGTAGACGGGATTTGACATTTCTGTCCTTATTAATATTATTATTTGATATTTAATGTCATGTTATTGCAAGGTGGGGGGAATGATGATGTTGCTTGAACCCATCTGCCCAAGGGCCATTACTGAGACCCTATCCTTGACCTCTCTCTTCCCTCTTTTGTAGGGTGACTCAGGCGGCCCCTTAGTGTGCGGGAAAAAGGTTCATGGCATCGTCTCCTTCAACGGAAAGAGATGTGGCGATCGGTTTTTTCCGGATGTCTTCACCCGCATTGCCAACTACATCCCCTGGATCCGTTTTGTGCTGCAGACCTTTTGATTGGTGGTCATGGAAGGCTGCGGGGGGGGGGGTGTTCTCTAAAAAAGCTGACCTGTTTGGTGGGAGAGGAGAAACAGTTTTTACTCAGTTTTATCCAGGTCTACAACTCCCAAAATTTCCAAGCCATACACAGTCATATTGATGGGACTTTCTGGATGATGTACCGTATTTTCCCCGAAAATAAGACCCTGTCTTATATATATTTTTTAACCCTGAAATAAGCATTTGGCCTTATTTTTGGGGGAGTCTCATTATTTTGGGGTGCATGGAGCGAGATGGGGATCCTCTTCCCATCTTACCTGATTTCCAGCTCTGTCTCCCTAACCCTAACCAGAGGAAATGGCTGCGCATGCATTTAAATATTTTTGGGGGAGGGCTTCTATGGGAGGGGAGGCAGTGGTGGGATTGAAATAATTTAACAACCGGTTCTCTGCCCTAATGACCAGCTGGGTAGGCATGGTTTGGTGGTCATGTGACTGTGTGGGCGTGGCCAACTCAACATCACGTCAATGGGCGCTTCGCCTTAGCTGTTACAATGTAATAAGGGTTAACCTGAGAGGCAGTTTCTGTAAGCAGGGCAATAATGATTAGGCTAGAAACAACACCAGAATGTTTCCTTCCTGCCTTCCTTACAGGATTAGCCCTGTAAAGTGGAAAAAAACAAAAGGAGATTTCTTCCAACAACTGGCTCTCTGAACTGCTTAGAAAGTTAACAACTGGTTCTCCCGAATAGGTGCGAACTGGCTGAATCCCACCACTGGGGGAAGGGCTTATTTTCGAAGAAACACGGTATTCATCACACATCTGGAAAAATAGAAGGTCGATGCTACACTGACAATTGGATAGATTTTTTTAAAGACCACTTCCATAGAATAATTAAATGTATTTTATCAAGGGCACAATATATTGTACATCTATAGAATGCTCTTCTTCTTCTTCTTCTTCTTCTTCTTCTTCTTCTTCTTCTTCTTCTCCTCCTCCTCCTCCTCCTCCTCCTCCTCCTCCTCCTCCTCCTCCTCCTCCCTGGAGTGTACTACAAACAACTCACCCACTTACAATCAGTAATGAATCAGTTAGGAATCTTGGAACAATTGAGTAAAGTTCAAGTCCTTCCCTGCCTAATTCCTGGCCTGCTGACCTCATGCTTTCTCCATTCCAGCTGTAGAACTTGGAATTTTCCACCAAATCCTCCCACCTTGGAGTTGAGGGTGGGGAGCAGTCATCTTGCTATCGCAATCACCAAACAATTAAAAATCCTTGCAGATCTGGATCTGATTATCCCGACATCCAGCAGCTTTCACATCTCTTCCTGCATTACCACATCCCTTTTTCACAGGCCTTTCCCTCATGTCCTTGTATTCTCACTCTGTGGGATGGAGGGAAATCATGGCACAATTTCATGTCTTTGTGGGCGCATATTAACAAGGAATGTCTTCTTTTCATCTGAAAACCAAAATTCCCCAGAAACACAAAATAGGCTAAAAAAAAAAAATTAAATGACCTGATTTTCTAAGGAGTCTTCATTACATAATCAATGTGACAGTAATAAAGAAGTCAGCCTACACAAGAATTTTGCTACTTTTGACTTAATTTAAATGTACATTTCATTAAAAGTTATATTAAACACCCTTGGTATGATGATTCCTCATGCATTTATAACACTTCCTTCTGTGGTATTAAAAAAAATCAGTATTCAGAGGCAATTGGAACAGGCTGGGGGCATAGAGGCCGATTGGGCCCTCAGGTTTTGCAAATGCCATATTAGGAAATTAAGTTCTAAAGTTTAACCAAAAATGGCATTTAGCACGCAATTTTCTTCACCCAGCCCGAGTCTTGCCCCACTGAACAACACAGGACAAATCTGCTTTCCATATGAAAGCCTTTCAGATATTTGAAGATTGCTATCATGTCTTTGCTTAAAACTCAACATCTGCACCTAATGCCTCTTAAAAATAAAAATCCAGTGTGGGTCTGCATTCAGGCGATAATAACATTGTACTGTTTTCCTTTCATATTTCTATAAAAGTTGCCTTGGCCGTATGGAGATTCTCATATTTCGAGTAGCTTCTTCACTGTGGTTCAGGTTGATTATTCATAAACTTTTCCCTTTTAAAAATAGATGGTTGGGCATGTATTGGTGTCCTTCCGTGCCAATTGACGGTGGGTTTTTCTCCTCCCATAACTTGCTAGCGTCCACGGCTTACAGCCACAATTGAGACCAACATTTATGTTGCTAACCGAGACATTTGTTAAGTGAGTTTCGCACTTAAAAGGTTGCATTGTACAATCTGTTTTGCCCCAGTCGTTAAGTGAATCATTGCCATTGTTTTAAGTTACGACTAACACGGTTGTAAAGTGAATTTGGCTTTCCCCATTGACTTTGCTTGCCAGAAGATTGCAAAGGTGATCACATGATCCCGAGCCACTGCAACTATTATAAATATGAGTCAGTTGCCAAGCCTCCGAATTTTGATCAAGTGACCAGGGAGAAGCTACAATAATCGTAAGTGTGAAAAATGTCATCAGTCACTTTTTTCAATGTAAATGAAATGTTGTAAGTCGGTGACTACTTGTATTATTCCTAGGGGGGGGAAATATTATCGATATGTATTCAGAGATGGTTTCCATTTTTTTTAGTATTGTAATATTTTAAAGTCACGGCTATGGTTTTCCCAGTTGCAATGTATGGCTGTGAAAGTTGGACCATAAGAAAGGCTGAGCGCCAAAGAATTGAGGCCTTTGAAGGATGGTGCTGGAGAAGACTCCTGCGAGTCTCTTGGACTGCAAGGCGATCAAACCGGTCAGTCCTAGAGGAGATCAATCCTGACTGCTCTTTAGAAGGCAAGAGAGTTGGCCCCATTTTAGGACTTTTCTTGCCACAGTTGTTAAGTGAATCATTGTGTTTGTCAAGTTAGTAACATGATTGTTACGTGAATCTGGATTTCCCATTGATTTTGCTTGTCAGAAGGTCGCAAAAGCTGATCACATGACCCTGGGACAGTGCAGCCGTCATAAATTCTAATGAGTTGTCAAGCATCTGAATTTTGATCATGTGACCATGGGGATGCTGCAACGGTTGTAAGTGTGAAGAACGGTCATAAGTCTCCTGTTTCAGTGCCGTTGTAACTTTGAACAGTCCCTAAATATATTTAATTTATTTAATATATTTTAAATGGTTTTTTAACGTTTGTACTATGTGTATTTTATCTCTTGGCTGTTCACTGCCCTGAGTCCTTCGGGAGTAGGGCGGTATATAAATTTAATTTTAAAAAAATGAACTGTTCTAAGTCGAGGATTACCTGTATGTGAAAACTTGGATTGACCAAAGCTGGGATGGATGTCAGGATCTATGGACCATGTGGTGATGGAAGATTGCTACTTGGAAATCTGGAGCAACAAATGCTAAAAATGAGGAATTAAATTACAGGCACTCTTTGATTTAAAATAATTAATTTAAACAACACTTTGAAGTTACAATAGCACTAAAAAAAAGTGACTTAAGACACTTGCACTTACGACAATTGCAGCATCCTCAATCACATAATCAAAATTTGGGCACTTGGCAACTGGTATGCATTTGGACCGTTGCAGCATCCTGGAGTCATGGGATCACCATTTTGAGACCTTCCCAACTGGCTTCAAAGCAAGCAAAGTCAGTGGGAGAAGCCAGATTTTGCTTAACAACTGCAGTGATTCACTTAACAAATGTGGCAAAAAAGGTTGTAAAATTGGATGCGACTCACTTTACAGATGCCTTGCTTAACAACGGAAATTCTGACTCCAATTGTGGTCATAAGTGAAGGGTTACCTCTAAACGAAAATAGATAAATACTGTGTCTGGGGAACTAAGAAAAGGGCGAAGGATATTATAAGTCTCATTGAAGAAAGTGTAATCTTGTGGTGTAGAATTAATGAAAACATGCAGGGAGTTAAGATGCAATTTTAATTATGAATAAATGGGCTAAAACATATGCCAGAGAGTATAAATTACTATCCTTTCTGTTATTCTGAGTGTATTTGAAAGCAGGAACGTAAGTTAGAAATAGTTTCATCTTATGCTTCAGTCAGTTTATTTATTTATTTCTAAAATTTATGCATAAGAGAATGCTGCAAAAATGGAGTTGGGAGAAATAACAGAATGACAGAGTTGGAAGAGACAGAGTTGGAGGTCTTCTAGTCGAACACCCTCATCAGATAGGAAACCCTATACCATTTCAGACAAATGGTTGTCCAATCTCTTCTTAAAAACCTCCAGTGTTGGAGCACCCACAACTTCTGGAGGCAAGTTGTTCCACTGGTTAATTGTTCTCACTGTCAGGAAATTTCTCCTTTGTTCTAGGTTGCTTCTCTCCTTGATTAGTTTTCATCCATTCTTTCTAGTCTTGCCTTCTGTTGCTTTGGAAAACAGGTTGATCTATTTCATGCCATTGGCATGAAAACTGGCTTGGCCAGCCATTCTCTCATACTGGTTGGGGAATTCTGGGAGTTGAAGTCCACATGTATTAAAGTTGCCAAGGTTGAGAAACGTAGTATTAATTGCATGACCAACTTCCTCCTAGTTCTCCTCTGGGTGTTGAAGTCCATGCATCTTAGAATTGCTAAGGTTGTGAAACACTCGTTGAGGATATAAACTGTCTCTTTGATTGTTTCATGGATCTATGGATAAATATATCATATATATTTATATTTATATATTTATATTTATATCCAAATATATCCATATATCTCTACATGGGGCTCCCCTTGAAAAGCACCCGGAGGCTCCAACTGGTCCAGAACGTAGCCGCACGGGTGATTATGGGCACAGCTCGTTACGCCCATGTAACACCTCTCCTACGCGAGCTGCACTGGCTCCCGGTGGTCTTCCGGGTGCGATTCAAGGTGTTAGTTATCACCTTTAAAGCGCTCCATGGCTTAGGACCTGGGTACCTACGAGACCGTCTTTTGCCACCAATAGCCTCCCACCGACCAGTTCGTTCTCACAGGGAGGGACTACTCAGGGTACCGTCAGTCAAATTATGTCGACTGGCGACTCCCAGGGGGAGGGCCTTCTCTGTGGGGGCTCCAACCCTTCGGAATGAACTGCCCCCGGAGATACGGAATATCCCTGATCTCCGTGCTTTCCGCCGTGCCCTCAAGACCCTGATGTTCCAACAGGCAGGGCTAAACATACAAACATGTGAATGATTTTTTTTTTTTAAATGTTATCTAA